CTAGACTGAGGAACAGCTTTTACCCTAAAGCTGTTAGACTCATAAATCCCATAATAACCAGTGTAATGCCACTTTATTTGGTGATGTGTCACGTTACCTGTACTGCTGATTTCTTGCCTTTAAGTTGCTGTATTCCTACACATCTGCTCACAACAGACTCATGTTCAGGCTGCTGCTTAATACACTGTATTATATTATATTATTATTGTGTAGCGTATTTCTTAGATTCTTATTTTTATATTTTAAATTTTATACTACTTTTGCTATTTTTGGGTGTAACTGGGACCTTCAGTACACAATTCCGTTCCACCTCATGTACCACATGTGATGCGAATGACAATAAAGAACCTTGAACGAAATGGACCAAAGCTTCTTTCAAACAGACTGAGGCCAAGTGAAGAACTGTTCTGGGGTCAGACGAGTCAAAACTTAAAATTATTTCTGGAAACTATTTCTGGAACATTCCCATATGGAGAGGAACCATCGGGTCTGTTATCAGCGCACCATTCAAAAGCCTGCCTCTCTGATGGTATGGGGATGCATTGTTGCTTCTGGCATGGACAGCTTACACACGTGAAGACATTAATGTAGAAAAGTAAACAGGTTTTTAACAACACATGAGAGGGATGCTTCAGCTTCTGTCCCGACTTTGAGACATGTTGCTGCCATAAAATAAAAATATCTAAAATATCGTAAAATTTCTCAGTGTCAACTTTGTTCTATTGTGAATAAAACACAGGAGTGTGAGATTTGCAAATCATTGCATTCTGTTTTTATTTAAATTTTACACAATGTTTCAACTTTTTTGGAGCCGGTTTGCATTTAATTTCTTCTTTTCTTTGTATTTTTGTCCGAGCAGCTACTGCCACAGGTGGAACAACGCAAACAAACCCACTTTGAAGACTTTTGTCCTCAACCCTGACTCTAAACTGATAACAAGCACAAAGGGCTAAAGGAGGAAGAAAATATAAATCAACTGTGAAGCGTAAAGGCTGCTAAGACTTCATCAGACGTTAAGAGGCCTGATCGACAGACTGATCAGTTAATAAATCAAAAGTCTCTCTTTACCATTTACCTCCGTCCCACCCTTGAAAGCCACGATCCTGCACTGATGTGGTGGTGGGGGGGTTAAGGAGTGTGGGTGGGGGAAGTGGCCACAAAAGCCTTCTGTTGCTGCCTGGGAGTGAGGTTACCTTCCAGGTCTGATTTCACCCTTCACATGTGCATGTGCACGCATAACATGTGCAAAAGCTTCAAGCGTCAGGATCACACACAGCTGCTGCAGGGGTCCGAGGGCCGGGGGGGTGGGGGGTCCACTGGGGACAAATGAGGGTTGTTCAGCCATCATTCAGAGCACGACTACAACTGACCAAACAGCTGGATGACAGACAGCAACTGGAACTAGTTTTTTGCTTCAAAAGATAAATTTATTATTTTTTCTCCGTATCAAGAAAAATCAGTTAAACTGCACTTTAGTGATGAACTTAGACGTTCAATGTTCTAATGTTCGGACCTGACACGTGGGTTAATCGAAAAACTTTTAAATGAAGGGTGGAGCGGGCAAACAAAGTTCTCAGCCCCAAGACGTTAAAAAAGTCACATCAGAGGAAACAAAAGCTTCAAAAGGTAAATGATCTGCAAGAGGCCGAGAGGCAGGAACCTCCCTTTCCCTCTACAAACTCTGACGACGAGCAACAATATTAAAATTCCTCACCTGAAGTGATTCTAGTCACAACCATCTGGAACAGGTAGGATATTGTTTCTGATTAATGGTGTGAAAGATGTTAAATGATCTTCAGTTAAGTTTTTATTTTTATCACTTGCCACCAAAAGCAACAAGGCATTTGTTCATTTGTCTGTAGCGTTAGCAAAATACCTCCTGAACAAGTGGATTTGATCAAAACCTTCATAAAGTAGATTTACGCTTACATCGTTTACCCATTTCAAGATGGCTGCCACAGCACAGAGAACTTAGGAAACCCAAAAATTAATATATCAGGCTACAATCTGATACTTGAGTCATAAACACACACGCTCAGCACCTGTTTGGGCGAAATTCACTTAAAAAACGTCCGGTTAACTATCACAGTCAACTTTATCTGTCTGTTAGCAAAACATCTCACGAATCAATAGAGGGAGTTTAAAGAAACTTTCAGAATTTTTTTGGAGTCAACACAATTCAAAATGGCTGCCACAGCTAATCGACATTAGCAAACCCCAAAATGATTAGAGCCCAGTTCAATTTGCAGATAAGCTAAATTTCAATCATGTCTGTTGGCTAAATATTTCAAAAATCAAATGAAACTCTTAGACCATAATAATTTAATGAACACCTTGAACTGTTTTACTTTAGGGTCAATCCAAAGCAAGATGGCTGCCACAGCTAATGGGCATTAACTAAAACAAAATAGGCTCTAGTCTATCAGTTTTACAGATATTGAGGTAAAACGGTGTGGTAGTTAGGCCTGTTGCAATAAACAATAAATCAATTAATCACATGATGAATGAAAATTATCGACCTAATTTTCATTTATCGGCTTTATCATTTTTTCGTGTCTCTTTCTACTGAAGACACTGGATGACAAAAAGCTCAACTCCGGTTTTCTTCACTGACCCTTTTTTCTCTTTAAAATCCATTTTAAACATCCAAAACCGCGTTTCTGGATCGTTAAAAGCAGCTAAGCTGAGAAGCTAAGCTAACAGGCCGACCTCGGGAAAAGACCTCCGTCTTATTGAAGCTCCAAAATTCACGGTTGAAACTCGTGCCTTTGTGTAAAAAGTTTTTTTTCTCTGCAAAAAGAAGCTGAGAACTTATTTACTGATTTTTTATTAAATGCTTTGTGTGACATATGCTATGCTAAAGAGCTCAAACCACACCGAACATCTGCCATTTTGAAAACCAAAGAGAGACAGCCCATGTCATGTCAAGGGGCCTCCCTCCCATTTTTCCTAAAGAGACGCTGCTCGCTCCCTCACTAGCCATCCTTCGGTTCACTCTTATACTGCCATCCAGTGGTGAAAAAAGGTACGACATGCAAAACAAATTAAACATTTCTTAAATTTGACAATAAATACTAATTATTGTCAAATTTCAAACAATATTATCGTTTATCGCAATAATTTCTGAGAATTAATCGCGCAGCAAAATTTGTTATGACAGGCCTTGTGGTAGTAGCTGAGAGTCATATTGAACATCTGCTTTGGAATAGATTGTTTTTTTTTTTACTTCAAACCCAAGTTAATGAGACGTTTCTTTGCGGATCACAAACAATATTTTTGACTTTATCAAACAAGATCAATTGGAAAAATGGGTTCAGGCCCACAAAAAGCGCATTAAATCCTCAGATACCTGAATAAAATAATTAAATATTAACATAAGTCTGAGAAGGATGGTCATCAGAACGGTTTCCTGCAGCTCGTAAATGTTTTCAGTCTTTGGGAGTACCATCCAGTCCGACACCAGCCTGTGATAAATCCTCCCACTGGGAACAGTTTCAGCTTTTGTTGTGACGCTCTCGGAGCGTTCACATACCTGAGAACTTTCTGCCATTGAGGCCTTATCTCAAGAACCAGACAGCAAAGTATAAACAGAATAAAGTGCGCGTTTCTAAAACACTTGAGCTTGTGTACGTGAAGTTAATCTAGTGTTTTATTGTGGATCAGGCTTCCCCAATTTATTTCAAAATTGTTTTTCTTTTGTAATTCAGACTTTTCTTTGTGCCAAGCAATTTTCTACCGACTTACGTGTTGTGTCTATAAATACAAAGAACCTAATTTAAATATGGTGTTTGGCACTTTGTTACTGGCAAAGACAACATGTCCCAAATTCTGTAAAGTTTAGGTTCCTGTCCTTCAAAAATCCACAAGTGAATGTTACAACGTAGCTTTCTTTGAACATGGTTATTAAGTGACTGAATTCTGAGATACCAATAAATAAATAAATAAAAAATACTAACATGTAAGCAAACAAGGGGTTGGTCAAGATACTTAAAGCGTTATATGAAGTCTAAATAATTTATTCATTATTTCAAGCATAAACTGCTGCCACCTGCTGGAGAGAAGGACTAAATTTATTCAGACATTAATTTTGAGCTTTTTTTTTTTTTTTTCCACCGACAATATTCAAAAGAGCAAAAAAAAAAAAAAAAAAGATCAAACTGCTCGACTTTCATCAGTACCGGATGGAAGGTGTGAAACAAAACCAACGAAAAGGCACAGATCAGTGTTAAAAGGGCTAATTTACTCTTACACATGACATCAACAGGGTACATTTTCCATAAAAAAATAAAACCGCCTGCTTTAGGGGACATCACATGGACTGTTGTTTTTTTTCCTCTAATGACCAAGAAGTCCAGAGATGGACCTCAGACGCTCGTGTTCATCCCATCAGCTGAGAACACATTCAGTGAGCTTCACTTTCGGTTTACGTCTCGTTTCTGAAACACGGTAACTGGCGGCGCAGTCGGTCGGTGGAGCCGGTCAGGTCCGAGCGAGGCGGGGACCATGCATATCCATGTGTGAAGAAAGAAACAGAACTATAAACTATTTATGAAGCACGACTGTGGCAAAAACGAGGAAAAGATCATAATTTTTTTTCAAAGAATTCAATCCAGACTTTGTGGATAACCTCTAAACCCTTTTCCATCCAAAATTATTGAAATATAGTTTCTTCTGAGTTCTCCTGAACATATGTAGTACTGTTATTGCTCGTTAGAAAAACTAAATCAGCTCGAGTACCACGCACACGTACTGGCATTTAAATCTACGAAGTGGCACCAGAACAAAGCTAAAGCAACAGGACACAAAACGTTATCAACTGAACTTAATTTAGTTTGT